GACCTTCTGTCTTACATACCCTTGTATAAACACAAGTCTAAGAAAAACAGAGTGGTTAATGTATATAGTTCTTGTATCTTGCAAAGGAATAGTCCAGCAATTTGTGTCAATAGAGGGCTTGAAGGGAAATGTATTTGTAGGCTTTCCTTGAAGTCTCTGATATCTATGGGGTTTCAGAATAACTGCTAACTATTATGACTATTGCATGGGACACTATGCAAGTCTCTGATGTCTGGCCAGGAGATTAAAGAGACGGGGAGAGCTGAAGAACAACTAAAAGACAAAGCTTGCAGGGGACCTGCCTCCCAAGGGATTCCACCAACTAGTGTCCTGAGCAGCCCAATTTTGTTTAGCATGATGTCAGATGGTATGGAATACCCCTTTGGCTAGTTTGCGTCACCTCTCCTGGGTCTGTCCCCTCCCAGCTCTTACTGCACCCCCAGCCTGCCTGTTGGCAGGACAGAGCGAAAGGCTGAGATGTCCTTGGCTTGGTATAAGCACTGCTCTGCAACAATTAAAACATCGGGGTGTTATCAGCACTCTTCTCATCCTAAGCCAAAACACAGCATTCCACCAGCTACTAGGAAGAAAATTAATTCTGTTCTAACTGAAACCAGGACAGGGACGCTGCACAAGTCTCTGACATACAGCCAAGTTGGACAAAGGAGAAGGACAAGAGGGAGGAAGATTATGAGCCTTCAGCACGAGAGACCCCCAGAGACCCCCAGAGGGAACACCGGAGACTGATACGCATGCTCCAGTAGGAGGGTTTGGATTCCGGAAACTAATTATAATAACCCTGTTTTTTTTAGAAGTAGTAATGAACATATATTAGCCTATGAGCATAAAAATCAGCTGCTTGACATAACTGGTGTGCGTCTTGGTGGAGCAGAGACTCCCAGCGCACCCAGTGCTGTTTGCTTACCTCTATTCCTTTAATAAATCGTAAACTTTGATTATAGTCCTATTTTGAAGACTGAGCCATTTATTACAAATGGGGGCTCGTCCGGGATGGCTTTGGTTCCTGAATTCTGATTCAGAAGAAGAGGCGCCCCACCATTTGGTGGCTCCTGTTCGAGTCAGGTCGGGACTAATGCCATCTTGAACCTGAATAAAGGTAAGCAAAGATTTTGATTTTTTTATGAGCTCCCTTGCCAGCTGCAGCACTGTATTTTGCCCGTAATTCTGCGCGCAAAGATCCGAACAAAGACGACGGAGTCTTAAGTGTTTAAGCAGTATACTGTTCGGTTGGGTGGGATTCGGTTGCCTGTGTGTGTAAGAGTGTGACTGAGACGGAACTTAGTTCCAAAGCGAGTGTGGAGGTCTTCTAACCGCGGTTCCAGTCTCCCGTGAGGGACTTGGCCGGTGAAGGACCAAAGCGATTCCTATAGGATTCGTGGGTGGGTGATAGGTCCTAAACCCCCTGCAAGACACTCTTACTAAGGTAACCAAGGGCTGTGGGAATTGCCATAGTAAAATTCCTAGATGGGTCAGACAGAATTGAAGACCAAGGACCAGAAGAAAGGGAGCAAATTACCAGGCATACCACCAGAAAGTCCATTAGGAATAACGATTAGAAACTGGAACAATAGGGGCCCCAGAAAATGAAGGAGTAAAATTAAAAATGGTCCGGTATTATATGATAGAATGACCAAAAGAACCTTTAAGACCCCATGTATTTTGGACGATATTTGGGTCCACGGAGGACTGGGTCTGTCAGGCTTTGAACATTAATGTTAATAGTAGAATACCCATGGATCCGGAAGAGAGCAAGTATGCTGGAGCTGAAACATGGAATTAGAAATTAGAGAGCGATTGATTAAGAATGAATATGTGCTACATTTGCAATGTACTGTGCCTGTGCTGCGCTTAGACCTCCAGATAACAGGAACCCCTCGGACCCCGAGAACCAGATCAAAACAACCTCATGGTTCGGACTTTAACCAAGGGGTCTGAGATAAGGAGGACTGTTCACAAAGGGACAGGTTATGCATATGTATAGGTGTATTGGGAAACTTCATGTATATGTAACTCTTTACTGGATATAACCAAAGCAAGTTGCCACATCAGGCATGCACGACTTTGGTGGGGCTACTCTCGGTAGGGTTCAGATTCCGGGAACTAATTATAATAACCCTGCCTTTTCTAGAAGTAATAATGAACATGTAGGAGCCTAGGAGCATAAAAAACAACTGCCTGATGTAAATGGTGTGCGTCTTGGTGGAGCAGAAACTCCTAGCACACCCAGCACTGTTTGCTTACCTCTATTCCTTTAATAAATTGTAAAATTTGATTGTAACCCTATTTGGGAGTTAGCCATTTATTACAATGCTATGAATTATTTAGGTCTGAGCTCCAAAATTCGTGTTCTTAAGTTTCTGAACATGTAGAGTTTTTCTTAGCTTTCTCCAAGGAGTTCAACCTCGAAATTCATCAAGGTTTGCTATTAAAAACTCAAGGTAATACCAGAGAAGCTTATCAAACTTCAGATCACGATCTCTATTCCTTTACACAATCCCAAACAGACCAGAGCTGAAATGTGTAACCTGGGATATCCAGAAATGATCAATTTCTATGGTGTTGGAGAGTGACAACTATTCTATTCATGTTTAAAATACAACTGTTTAGTACCCATTGTTCACTACACCAAACTACAGATTAGTGGAATTTGTATTTTTAGTTATCATCGTTAACAGCAGCAGTAGCTCTCAACTGCTTTCTGACTACCTATATGCTCAGAATAGTATGTTCAGACAGTATCTGCACCCCATTTCAAGCCAGTCTGCTTCCAGCTAGTGATACCTGTTGTGTTTAACCCAGCAGGCAGCTAAGCACCACACAGCCGTTTGCTCACACCCCAACAGTGGGATGGGGAAGACAATTGGAAAAAAGGTAAAACTCGTGGGTTGAGATAAAGAGAGTTTAATAGGACAGAAAAATAAGGGAAAATCGTAATAAATATATATATATACACACACAAAACAAGTGATGCACAATGCAATTGATCACCACCAGCTGACTGATGCCCAGTCAGACCCCTGAGCAGCAGCCATGCCCTCCCCCCGAACCAACTTTCCTCTGTTTTATTGTTCAGCATGATGTCATATAGTATGGAATATACCTTTGGCCAGTTTGGGTCAGCTGTCCTGGCTCTGTCCCCTCCCAGTTTCTTGTGCACCCTCAGCCTCCTTGGTGGCAGAGCCATATGAGAAGCTGAGAAGTCCTTGGCTTAGTGTAAGCACCAATCAGCAACAACTAAAACATCATTGTGTTATCAGCATTTTCTGCTAAATTCAAAACATGGCACATATCAGCCACTATGAAGAAAATTAACTCTATCCCAGCCAAAACCAGGACAAGAGTTTAATACACTGTGTTTTTTTTTCCCCTAGAATTTTTAAGTCATTATATCTTAGATATCAGAATCAAGAAATATATCCCAAAATCTAAAAACACAGACACTAATTCATAAGAAAATTAATAAAATTATCTGTATAAATATATACCTCATTTAAGAGATTGTGACAGCATGCCTGGACTTTTTTCCTAATTGTTAACCATCTGCATTTGGAAGCGACTGAAATATTGGTGTTCTCTTCCCTCTTGTCTAGCCTTTTAATTTTTTTATGAAGGAAAAATACCTGTGAGGTTGGTGGAGGGGTGGATGTGGGTTGGGGGGTCAGTACCTACTGACACAAAATCTCATTAGAAACAGCTCAATGAAGTTCCACAGTAAACTGCTCTTAACTAGCAGCCACCTAACAGGAGCTCAGAAATCAAATAAAGACACGGTCCTCATAACTTGTTCATGCCTATTTCCTTGTTCAAATTAGGCATAAAACACCTTTGGAAAAAGGATGTCAAAGTCATCACTTCATTAAAAAATTACTTAAAAATTAGTCAGTAGGGAGTCTCATCCTCTTTTTTCAATGAGGTATTCCTTCAAACCCAACCCTCTTCATTACCTTCATACCCCTCTCTTTACTTATAAGAATCATAACATCTTTGGTAGCCTCTGAGAAACGTCCTTGATTTCTTTTCTTTTCTTTTCTTTTCTTTTCTTTTCTTTTCTTTTCTTTTCTTTTCTTTTCTTTTCTTTTCTTTTCTTTTCTTTTCTTTTCTTTTCTTTTCTTTTCTTTTCTTTTCTTTTCTTTTCTTTTCTTTTCTTTTCTTTTCTTTTCTTTTCTTTTCTTTTCTTTTCTTTTCTTTTCTTTTCTTTCTTTTCCTCTTCTTAAATACAGTGAGACATTTAAAACTAGCATCTACCTTATTCCACTCTAGAATATATTCTGCCTTGTCCAGTTGACAGAAAAATAGCTCTCCATGAATTACTGAAAGCTTTTTTTCTAGTTAGCTTAAATCTAACTTGTCATTTCCTTGACATCAGTGCTTGCTTGTCTACTATGTTACACCTGATTGATTTCTCTTTTCTTTTAGTTTCCTGAGCTTTTAATTCAGGAGCTTCCTTTCCTAAGTCTACACAAGTCTGTGTACTATTTCTACTCACTTTCTTTGATTCAAAAGTACAAATCCCGTTGCCTATTTCTGAACCACCCCTTCATTCCAGGAGTTATAGCTTTTCCTCAGTTCCACCACAGTGATCTCAATAGTTATCAAAACAGCATCCATCACTAGAAGATTAATCTGCTTATTACTGCTAGAAATACGTATACATTTCTGTTTGTGAAAACAATGTCTTCAATAAACTATACAATAATGTTATACTTGGCTTACACTTGGTTTATGCATTTAAAGACTTTAACCCCTTTCATAAATGAGAGAAACCTCTGTTTGAATGACTTAATATCTTGAGCACAAATACAGTAAAAGGTGTGAAGTCTGCATTGAATTCAAGAGCTACACAAATAGGAGTTTCATTTCTCTAAATACATAAACCTTTCTGTATATATAATATCTTAAAAATGAAGTCACACATCTTGAATAACAAAATAAATGTCTAGTGGCAAATAACAATGGTACATAAATTGAATCAAACTTACATCAGTTGCTGCTGTCAGGATTTTAGAAAGGATGACTCTTGCTAAACCATCTCTGCTGTAATCCAAACTAGAAATAGTCAGTTTTAACAAGTGATCCTGGTTCTTCAAAGAACAAAAATTAAGAAGACTGGTGGAGGGGGAAAAAAAATCAGTATTTTAATCCAGTTGAATTCACTTATTTATTCAACAAATAATTTAAACAAGTACTCTGAATAAGTCTTTCATTTCTATAAATGCAGAAGAATACAAAGTAAGTTCCCATATCAAGTGGAGTGACTTTAAACTGTTGCAGCTGTTAGAGTCAAAGGGGGACAGAATAATGCATTAAACTACATGGGAAAAAAAAAACACTTTAATTTTATAATTGTTCTGTAACTGTTGTGTCAGCACATTTGAATTAGTGATTATGAGTGCAAAAATATTCATGAAGATTTGTGAACAATTCCTCATTCTAAAACACTGTAAAACTGTCTGGATTTTATCTTCTTCATAAAAAAAGGAAGAAAAGGAAGAAAAAAAGAAACCAACACCCCCCCCAGCGCCCCCCCCCCCCCAAACAACAACAAAAAAGAACAACACCCCACAATTGTGGAGTCTCTATTTGAACCGATCACAGGAATTTTGAAGTTTCCGGCTTTATAGACAATGGTACTCATGCACAGTTTACAAGTTTTGTAATGATTATACCTGTAAGCACAATTCAAACAGAATAAAAACACTCACCACTGAAACGCATTACATTTTTCAAGCATTTTGACTCCATGAGAGTGACAAGATAGAGTACCAAAAAACAGAAAGTAATGCTGACTAAGGGTATTTAGTAACCCATTATTTTGAAGACTACATTCAGGTTTCATTCCTGATGAAGAATTGAGCCAATGTACAATATCTTTAACCAATTCCTCCAGGTAACCTTGTCCATCCTAACAAAACAAAGAGTAACAGCATTTATTAGCAACAGAACTGGTAGTCTCTTTACTGAACTCTGTCATTTTAAGTTTCTTAAAACGTACAATACAGACACAAAATAGAAATTCTGACTGGCAAACAATTCAGACTAAAATAGATTTCAAGGCAAATAAAAGGAGTTTAGCTTGGAGACATATTAGGACCAATTCTATTCTTTCCAGGAAAAGGATTGTTCAATGACATTTTCCCCGGTCCTCTAGCCAAAGGCACAAAAGTCTTTAGCACACAAGAAGAAAGAAGGTAAAGAAAGGACAAATATGCATAGTAAAACCTAAAAAAAAATAAGGAAAAAAAAATAAAACACCACACACACCATTAAGTTACATTTAATAAAACTACTTAAACACAATTATCTCCCCAGTGTCTCATCTGGACAATTCAGGATTTTAAGTTATATTTCTTAATTATGCTGAACATTTTAGGTTTAACACCCAAAGCCTACAGAAGTTTTTATTAAAATTAAGGTTTTTAATTTAAGTGCATACAGCAATATTACTCATTCTGTCTCATCTTGTAGCTGAAAATTTCTTACCTCTTGTGATTCAAGAAGAAATTCAGTAAACTGACAACCCACTGTAGTGAGCTGCTTAGCCTTTGCATAGTCCAGATCCAGATTGGCATACAGTTTACTGCTAGGCTTGTAGAAATATAGCAATCTCCTTACAAATCTAAGGAAAGTAAAAAATAATTTGTTATTTTTCAGTAAGACAAGGAATCCCTCACAGTATAAAATGATGCCAGTATAAAAGATATTTTGTCACTAAATTAGCTTATTGGCCATAAATTTTCAGAAGCTATAAAAAGAGAGTAGCAGGTATCAGTAATGAGTCTATCCAGACATGATTTCAGAGATGCAGCTGTACTGTGTTATAAAGGATTTTCTGTCATGACTTAAAATAAGCAAAGGAACTCAAAATCTCTATGCTCTTAAAAGTCATAGCTTCCTTCTCACTCTTGTGTTTATAATTTATTTTGCTGTAACTTATCCTGTGGTGAATTTCAAAGACTATCTAGAGTTTATAAAGAGCTAAAAAAAGTGTCTTAATGCTTATGTGACATGACTTTTATTCAGCTATAATAATTAATGCTACTATGAAAAATACATTCTGCCAGGAAAAGGCCATATGGCAACAGCATTTTCATTCATCTCACTTTAGCATTTCTGGAACATAACACAGAGATAACAAATGCAGACTTATAGACTTTTTGAAAACATGCTGAGCAATATAGCTTGAATTCTTCACTGCAGAAATAAATCTTCAGCAGAGTTTACCCCTACCAATTCTTAGTCAAAAAATAAACACAAATTTGTGCTTTAAAAGAACACAATGTTATATCTGAAGGTAGATATGTCAAGTATTAAGAAAGCTTAACTAAAGCACTGCCTTTAACTAAAGTGAGAGTAAACCACTATCCCAAGTCCAAATACAGAATCAATTATAAAGGAAATCTGAGAGCTTCTTTAAACTTGTCAAATGAAGTGCAATTTATTCTTTTATTAGTGACATACGTATTATATATATTATTAGCACACACATTTATATATCACAGAATCACAGAATTGCAGGGGTTGGAAGGGACCTCAAGAGATCATCGGGTCCAACCCCCCTGCCAAAATATGATTGCATTATATATGTATGAGTGTGTGTATGTAAGTATATACACACATGTACACACACTGCATTAATCATCTCTGAAATGAAGGAATCTATACCAAAAAAAAGCTGTCCTGGGTCTGTCCCCTCCCAGCTCCTGCTGCACCCCCAGCCTGTCCGCTGGCAGGACAGAGCGAGAAGCTGAAAAGTCCTTGGCTTGGTGTAAACACTGCTCAGCAGCAACTAAAACATCAGTGTGTTATCAGCATTATTCTCCTCCTAAATCCAAAACACAGCACTGTAACCGCTACTGGGAAGGAAATTAACTCTGTCCCAGCTAAAATCAGAGCACATGCCTAACCAATACAGAACTACTCTTCAAAATAGTTTATTTAAATCAAATCAGTTTCTGAAATGCATGTTAAAAGTGACATCCAAGAACTAGTAACACAATTACTCCACATGCATAAAAGTAATATAAATACCTTAAGGCCATTAGACAAGAAAGGAACCAGAGTTGTACTGTTGTGGTATTTTTCTTTGTTTCAAGTCATACATGCTTTCCTCCCCATTAATAGTAACTAGAAACAACTTTATCTTTGGTTTTGATGAAAGCTATAATGATAGTATTGTACAACTATAGCCCTATTCCATCAAAATTTGTCAAGTGTTAACATCAAACACTAATGTATTAAATATGAGAGAGGTAATAGTTTAAGATTTAAAATTAAATAGGGAGTTTGTAGAACTTGTATAATTTTTGTTTAGTGAATAGATATATAAAATGTCTGTGCACTGAAAAGAAACCACTAAATCTTAAAAACCTGTTTATTTAAAGCAAATTTTGCAATCTAGATTTTCCATTTTTGCTGCTTCTCTCTAGATTAAGTTTTAGAAATGTGACATATCCAAGAAACAGCTTATTGCAATATTAAAAAAAAGTTTTTTCAAATTTCTTTCTTCAAAGGAAGTATACGCAATTTTTACATACCTGTGCAATTGTTCATCTTTATAGTTCCTTAGATTTACATTTGGCCACTAGAAAAACAGCAAATATAGCATTATATGAAACTTGTACATCAGTCCTTGATTAGTCATTAAAATTTGCTTATTTCTATTATATTCACCTAATATTTGAAAGTGTAAGTTTTCTTCCCTCTAATGTTCCCTATAAAAGTTATTTTATTGAAAAGCCTCCACTTCTTGCTCCAGTAACTGTTCTATTTTTTCTAGAGGAGTGGGATTGTTGGGTGCATGTTATGTGTACAAGTCCACAATTCTAATGAAAACAGCAAACTGACTTTTTTTGTTGTTTTCACTATTCTTCTGATTTATTTTAAAAATTATCATTCACACTTAAATACCTCTTATTAAAATGGTATTTAAACTCCTCTTTTGATACTTTGAAAGATGTTTCAAGAAGGATCACATAAAGCCACAATACACTTTGCTGGACCTATTCTTTCTTAATAATGTTTTTTGTTTGTTTGTTTGTTTGTTTCTTGCAGGAAGAACGGCCAAAAACACGACAGACACTAGTATGGTCAGATCATGCTCTCTCTTTATTACCTGAAGAGCCTGACTTTTATAGCAAACTTAACAGGGGCGGATAGTGTCTCACACAAGATTATTGGTCAAAAGCACTCAGACAAACAACTGCAAGAAAACAACCCCCTTGTGATTAGCAGTCACGTAGGTCCTGTCCTTGAAGCCAGCTGCTGGCAACAATATTTTTCTAAATTCCTCAGTCGGACGATGTGGGAACACTGTCATGGGAACTTCTCATAGTTGTCCTGGTAGCTTGGTTTGCTCAGCTGCAGCAAGTCATGGCCTCCTTGCTGTTTCAAAAATCCATCAACAGTTGTTGCTTTTTAATTTCCTTTCTTTCCTACCTAAGCAATTTAATTCTACATTTCCGATTGGTATGCTAGTATTAAGACAGACAGTGCAACATTTAATGATTAGTAAAACTGATTACACTAGTAACATTGAACCCACATTTCCAGATTAAGTGTGCAGCTCTACTGTTAAAGTCTCAACTCCTCCATCCTGACCACTACCACTTTTGCTGTTCTTTTAGCAGTTTAGACAGCAAGCTAAGCAAGTAAAAAGGCAGTAATGGACCATATGAGATGTAAGTAGTGAGGTGGTAGGAAAGATCATAGAATCATTAAGGTTGGAAAAGACCTCTGAGATCATCTGGTCCAACCATCACCCTACTACCAATGTCACCCACTAAACCATATCCCTAAGCACCAGGTCCAACCTTTCCTTAAACACCTCCAAGGATGGAGACTCCACCACTTCCCTGGGCAACCTGTTCCAATGTCTGACTACCTGCATGGGTATCAGGCCATGGATGAACAAGGAGCTCCTCACCAAACTCAAACACAAAAAGGAAGCCTAAAGAGGGTGGAAGCAAGGACAGGTAACCTGAGAAGAATACAGAGACATTATCCCACTCACAGCAGCTGAACACCAGAGCTGGCAAATGATGCCCAGAGCTTAACAGGAGAGCTACTGTAGGCCCACATGGACGCGTTATAGTTGCCCCATCCAGAAAGGCAGATGCATTGGGAGTCCAACTCAAATGCCTCTATGTAAATGCACACATGCTGGGGAGACAACACACCTCAGAACAAAAAGTCCAGTAAGTTACTGCAGAACATTGCAGATAACTTCTTGATGCAGGATGTAAGCAAGCCAACAAGGAGAGGGGCTCTGCTGGACCTCGTACTAACAGAGATGGTCTATTTGGAAACGTGAAGCTGAGGGCAGTCTCGGCTGCAGTGATCACAAGATGTTGGAGTTCAAGATCTTGCAAGGAGGAAGCAGGGCAATAAGTAGGACCACAACCCTGGATTTCAAGAGAGCTAACTTTGACCTCTTCAGGGCTCTAATTAGAGGAATCCCCTGGGACAGGGCTCTAGAGAGAAAGGGGGCCCAGGGGAATTGGCTAATATTCAAGCACCACTTCCTCCAAGCTCAGGATCGGTGGATCCCTAAAGAAGTCAAGCAAGGGGGGCAGGAGACCTGCGTGGATGGGCAAGGAGCTCTCAGGAAAACTTAAACAGAAGAAGAAAGTGTACATGATGTGGAAGAAGGGAGAGACCACTTGGGTGGAATATAGGAACACTGTCAGAGAATGCAGGGATGCAAGGAGGAAGGCCAAGGCCCGGTTAGAATTAAATATAGCAAGACACATCAAGGATAACAAGAAGGGCTTCTTCAATCACAGCAGCAGCAAAAGGAAGACTAAGGAAAATGTGGGTGCACTCCTAAATGAGGCGGGTGCCTTGGTGACGGCAGATACAGAGAAGGTGAAGTTACTGAATGCCTTCTTTGCTTCAGTCTTCACTAAGGCTATCCCCAACACACTTCTGAGCCTGGAAACAAGAAAGAAAACCTGAAGAGAGGAAGACTGGTTGAAGAGGATTGGGTTAGAGGTTATTTAGTCAAGCATGAATCTATGGGCCCCGATGGGATGCACCTGAGGGTGCTGAGGGAACTGGCGAGCGTTATTGTTAAGCCTATCTCTATTATAATCTTTGAAAGGTCTTGGAGAACAGAAGAGGTGCCTGAGCACTGTAAGGAAGCCAACATTAATCTAGTCTTCAAGAAGGGCAAGAAGGAAAACACAAGAAACTACAGGCCAGTCAGCCTCACCTCCATCTCTGTAAAAGTGATGAAGCAGCTCATCCTTGAGGCCATCTCTAAGCACGTGAAGGAAAAGAAAATGATCAGAAGCAGTCAACACTGATTCATCAAGGGGAAGTCATGTTTAACCAACTTGATAGCCTTCTACGATGAGATGACTGGCTGGATGTATGAGGGGAGAGCAGTGGATGTTGTCTACCTTGACTTCAGCAAGGCTTTTGACACTGTCTCCCATAACATCCTCCTGGGCAAGCTCCGGAAGTGTGGAATCCATGAGTGGACAGTGGGGTGTATAGAGAACTGTCTGGATGGCAGAGCTCAGAGGGCTGTGCTCAACTGTGCCAAGTCTAGTTGGAGGCCTGTGGCTAGTGGTGTCCCCAAGGGTACTGGGTCCAGTGATATTCAACTTACTCATCAATGACCTAGACGAAGGGACAGAGTGCACCCTCAGCAAGTTTGTGGACGATACAAAGCTTGGCAGAGTGGCTGACACACCAGAGGCCTGTACAGCCATTCAGAGGGACCTGGACAGGCTGGAGAGTTGGGCAGAGAGGAACCTCATGAGGGCAAGTTCAGGGTCCTGTACCTAGTGAGGTGCAAACCCAGGCACTGGTATAGGTTGGGGGCTGACATGATGGAGAACACCTCTGCAGATAGGGACCTGGGGGTCATGGTGGACAACAAGTTAACCATGAGCCAGCAGTGTGCCCTTGTGGCCAAGAAGGCCAACAGGATCCTAGCCTGCATCAAGAGGAGTGTGGACAGCAGGTCGAGAAAGGTGATCCTCCCCCTCTACTCAGCACTGGTGAGGCCACAGCTGGAATACTGTGTGCAGTTCTGGGCTCCCCAGTACAAGAGGGTTGTAGAACTTCTAGAAAGGGTCTAGCATAGAGCCACAAAGATGATTAAGGGATTGGAGCACCTGTTCTATAAGGAAAGACTAAGCGAGCTGGGCCTGTTTAGCCTAGAGAAGAGGAGATTGAGAGGGGATCTCATCAACCTCTACAAATACCTGAGGGGACAACGTAAAGTGGATGGGGCCAAACTCTTTTCAGTGGTGGCCAGTGATAGGACAAAGGGTAATGGGTATAAATTGAACCACAGCACGTTTCATCACCATATGAGGAAGAAATTCTTTACAGTTTGGGTAACAGCACTGGAACAGGCTTATCAGAGAGGTTGTAGAGTCTCCTTCTTTGGAGATGTTCAAAACCTGCCTGAATGCAATCCTGTGTAACATGTTCTAGGTGACACTGCTTGAGCAGGGGGATTGGACTAGATGATCTCTGGAGGTCCCTTCCAATCTCAACCATTCTGTGATTATCTGAGCAGCCAGGGACTGAGTTAAGAAAGATAATGCCCAGATAGAATTGAATCTGACTAAGAACATTAAGGACAACAAGAAGGACTTCTACAAGTATCTCAGTGATAAAAGTGAAGTCTAGGGAAAATGCGGGTCCTCTCCAGAAGGAAACAGGAGACCTGGTTACCCGGGACAGTGAAAGGTCAAGGTACTGAACCTCAGTCTTCACTAAGGCTATCCAGTCCTTGCCTTTGTCTTTAACAGCTAGACTGGCCTTCAGGAATTCCAGGCCCCAGAGGCCAGGCAGAAAGGCTGGATCAAGGAAGATGCATCTTTGATGGATATTCTGTATGAAGTTCAACAAGGCCAAGTGCCGGGTCCTGCACCGGGGGCGCAATAACCTCAAGCAGAGCTACAAGCTGGGAGATGAGTGGTTGGGTGGGTTCGGTTGTGTGACTGTGTGTAAGGGTGTGATTGAGATGGAACTCAGTTCTGAAGCAAGTGCGGAGGTCTTCTAACCATGGTTCCAATATCCCGCGAGGGACTCAGCCGGTGAAGGACCGAAGTGATCTTTCTAAGTATTCGTGGGTGGGATAGCACTCACAAGACACCTTAGATACATGCACAGCCATGAGTTTTGAAACTTTTTTTGTATAAAAAGAAGTTCCAGGAATGGGTCAGGGACAAAGCAGATCCTTAGACTCGGGAGGTTCGAGGAGGGGCCTCTGGTTTAAAAAGGGGGAAAAATTACCAGATATTCCACCGGATAGTCTCTTAGGGCTAAGGTTAAGATATTGGGATAGTTTTAGAAGCACTAAACATAAGGATAAGGCGAGAATGATTCAATTTTATATGGTTAAATGGCCAAAAGAACCCTTAAGACCCTATGTATTTTGACCGATATTTGGGTCCACAGAGGACTGGATCTGTTAGGTTTTGAACATTTATGTTAATAGTAGAATACCCATGGATCCGGACAAGAACAAGTATGCTGCAGCCTGGTTGGGACTAATGGAATCGCCCAACACTCATATATTTAATTTAATTACAAAAAGGAGGATGAAGAAGATAAGGAGGA